GATTTATTACTGAAATAATAACCTGAGGTAAAATGAAAGTTGATGTCACACGGAATGACAGCTGACATATATTTATGTCATGGGCAACATTATAATAATAAAACTTCCTTTCCCTTCCCTGGCACTAGGTGTTAAGTGGAAGTGTGCCTCATCATATCCTCCAGTGCCCTGCGTAAGGAGTCCATTAGACAAATACACGGTTCCTCTGTGGGCATGTTCACTGTAACGTGCCCTGTCAGGTGTTGTTTAAGCTTTAAACCGTGGCTCCGTGGCGGTACGAAACAGACCTGTGGGGCGACTGTGCATGCGTTCTTACAATGTCATGAGATTTATTTTTTAAAAGAGCACAGTTTTATCGCTTCAGTGGGGAAGTAAAATCTTTTGTAGCTGTGGTTTTTTTAGTTACCTAGAGGTCCCATACAAGTAAGATAAGCAAAGCAAGAGTTAGCAATGAATGGTCACGGGACTTTACCTCAGAGGTGCTTCAACAGCTGCCAGTATATGGTTGAGAAATGTCACCGGGTTCTAGTATTATGAGGGAGAAGGGTGAGGAACACTGTCTCCACACCATTAATAATTTTATACACCTTCGTCCTGTCACGTCTTACTTGACCTTCTTTAAACTAAAAAGCCTCAAATGTTGTATCCTTTCCTCATGAAGGAGTTGCTCCATCACATCTACCATTTTTGTTACTCTTTTGTGAACCTTTTCCTGCTCCACAATATCCTTCTTGAGGCGAGTTGATCAAAACTACACCAGGCATAGGCAAATTCGGCCCTCCAGATGTTTTGGGACTACAACTCCCATCATCCCTAGCTAACAGGACCAGTGGTCAGGGATGATGGGAGTTGTAGTCCCAAAACATCTGGAGGGCTGAGTTTGCCTATGCCTGCTGTACACAGTTCTCCATATGCAGCTGGGACTTTATAACGACTTTATAATACTGACAGTTTTATTTTCAGTCCCTCTCCTAATAATCCCTGGCATGGATTTTGCCACCTTCCTAGCTGACACACACTGGGTCGACATCTTCATCAGGCTATCCATTACAACCCCAGGGTCTTGTTCCTGGCCAGTCACAACCCATGAAGGTACATGGGAAGTTATGTACCCCCCTCCCCCATTGGGCATTGCTTTAAACTTACTTTGAGGTGTTGGACTCCCTGCTAAATGGGGTGGACTGTGGCATAGAGTGCTGAGGGGGATGCCAGAATATGAGGTAGCATCACCCATGAGTGGTAGCCCAATTTACAAAAGGTGCGTCTTCTCAGTTTTCAGAGATTCCTCCACATCACAGCCCATTCCCTTCAACAAGGCCCCTTGACCCTTGGAAGATGCTTTTATGGGTGTTACTTGGAAGAGGAGAAAATGAAAAGTAATCTTCTTGCCCACTCCTTCTGTAGAGTTTTCTCCAGATCCAATCTCTGATTTAGCCTTAATATTAGAGGCTCCACTTAAAGGTGGAGCTGTTGAGTTCTGCCTCTCTAGGTGTGACCAGGATGTTGTGGTAGCTATTCAAGCACAACTCAATTTATTCTGGAAGGTTCCTTTGAAAATCATATTCATCATAATTCAATTTAGTGTTAAATCCTGAACAAGGAGCTGAGAGTTAAAGAATACAATATTCAATCACAGTTTGCTTTCCTTATTAACGCAAGGAGTGGATTTGAAAGAGAGTATGTATTGTGTTAGTGTTCCTTTGTGGTAAAAGGAAACGGGTGTTTCAGGTCGGAGGTGACTTAGCTTTAACATAGCCACACTCTCCGTCAATGACTTGTTATGCTATTGTTGTTGGTTTTGCTGTCAGATTTCTGTGAAAAGGACTGTCACCATGGATTTGCCTTAAACGTTAAGGCCCTTAAGGCAATACCTGGCCAGAGTCTTGGACTTGACAAAGGAGTGTTAACAGCCAGGGATATTCAGGTCATGTGTCTCTGTGAAAGCTAATTGTTAGAAGATTGCTTCTTGATACAGGACCACACAGCAATGTGCTGTTTAGCGGGGGGGGGGGGGGAGGGACGGGACCATCAGATAAAAGAGTAGGGAGCATTCTCCCCACCCTAGTCTCAGCTGAGGATGGTGTAATCTAGGTGTGTGTGTGTGTGTGTGTGTGTGGAGAAGTAGGAAGAGAACTGAGTTTCTGGGCTCTGCAAGCTATTAGACTCTTTGGTGATTAGATGTGGGGCAGTAGCTCTGGTTGCTTGTTGGGTTGTTTATTTTTAAATAAACTCAAATATTGAACACCCTAAGCTTAAAGTGATGTTCTATCCAAAGAAAACTAAAGCACCACACTGCTGGAATTTCTCATTGCTTGGAGAAGAGTCGCCCATATGATACTAAGTACTATATTTGCATATTTCTATAGCTTTTTAAGTTTGTTTCAGGCAGCCAGGTTTACCATATGATCTGCACCTGTGTTGTATAATTTGAAAGCAGTGACAAGTCTTACTGACTGCTCCAAGTACTGTGGCAATAGATGGGACAGAATGAACAAAACAACAAATGCTATGGTGGATATTTAATATGAAAAAAGTAGGGAAAGGAAATCTTAACATGAAAAATAAAAACCACAGTAGATATGTCTATTGCGTAAATCAAAAGGCTTTATGTCATAACATGAGCATGTGCCACACCGGCTCATATATTGAATTTCAGTAGTTGGTTGCATAAAGAAGTAAAGTGTAATGAAACTGGCAAGCAAAGTATTCCCCAGTCAGCCTTATCTTTGTTCCATTTGTCCTTCAGACACAGCTTTTCTAGCGTTTTTCAATAAAACCCATCCAGCTCGCTCTCTCTCTCTTTTACTTTGCATCTCTCTGTAACTGAGCTGAGAAAACCAATGAGATTCAGTGCTTTTCTACTTGAGTCCTTAGCAGCTGTTTTTTAAGAGATCAAAACTTAGAATGCTGCTACATGGTATTAAGGCTTAGCCACTGATGTGTCCCTATAGAGGTTATGTTTTTCTTGTGGGGAGAGCGGTGGGAGGGAAAGGGTGAAGGGTGACACTTTTGAGCAGGCTTGTAGACAGTAAACACTACTTTCCTTGTTTCTTAGGATCCTCTTTGCAAGCTCAGTGCTTAACCTGACTGAACTCGTTGCCCTTCGGCCTGACCTTGGCAAATTGAAAAAGGTCCTTTACTTCCATGAGAACCAATTGACATATCCTGTCCAGAAATGTCAGGAAAGAGACTTCCAATACGGGTACAACCAGATTCTTTCATGGTAGGTGCATCTCTCATGCCCTTGTGTTTAATTGTTTTCTAGTATCTTTATGAACATGCCTCCAGGGGTTCTTTTTTCCTTTTTCTTTCAATAATAATATATATACACAGACATCCACAGAGTCCTACGTGATTTCCAGTATTTGCAGACAGACAGATGCACACACAATTCAACACTTAAAGTATCAGGTTCATTAGTATATACGACTTGCTGAATGCCAAGTATACCTAGATACTATTATGAGCGTCTCATTGTACTCCAGTAAAATGCACTGATTTCCAGTATATACCTCAGTGCTTTTGCTTTGAGAGCACTTAACAAAAGGGGCAGTTAATCAACACTGGCTCAGCAATAGCTTTTACTGCATCCAGCTGAAATTAAAATAGAGGTTTTCAAGGGAGTAAACAAAAATTAAAATGTACTGCGGCAATGTTTTTAGTGAGAGAGGGTAGTAAACATACCAGATAAATCCTTACGTTTCTTTCATTGCGTATTCACAAATTGTGCAGTGGTAAAACACCCAGACATTTAAAAGGCTGTGGCCCTTTATTGTTACTTAAAACAAACATATTTCCTGAATATAAGTTAATGAAAGAAGTTAATAACAGCTACACTGAAAAGCTTTGTGATTAGGCGTTATACAAACCTAAAGTGAAACTGCAAAGCTGAATTGGCTTGAATTGAAATAAATTCATTTACTTGGTCTATTTCACATATTTGTTATTAGAATTATTATAAGCATAGATTGAGCGTTTTAAAGCTCGATGTATAACATCTGCATCTTTGCATTGTAACTCAGATGAAAGACAAATAATGATCCCTATATACTCGAGCTTTTTGTAGCTGCCGTTCTGCTTTCGTTTGCAAAATGCTTCAGTTTTGCAGTAGCAATATTCTGAGAATATAATGAAATGGCTTTGCCATGAAATGGTTCTTAAAAACAAATAGCAGCTTATAAAAAATATTCCTCATCATTGCTACTGGAAGAAATACATCATGAAATGTTAAACCATTCCCCCCACCTCACTTTTGCTTTTGAAGATGCTATCATTTCCTATATTATCTTTGAGCTTATGGTACCTTTCCAATGATTTAGCTGTATTAATGGTCAAAATTTGTATTTTGAAGTCATATAAACACTGGGAATAATTCAATAATGCACAATTATGATCATTCCATCAGCACAAGCAGACCTTCCCTTGCTCCTTGAGCTGATTTGGGGTGTGGGAGGGCATGCAAGGGGAGGAGAGGGAAATACCCTTTGTGCTAGTGGGTCTCATTGTACTGGCTCCTGTTAGTGCAACTATTTTGTTGAATCCACCCCACTAGATCTGTTTCCTGAAATTCAGCTATACAGTGGGAGTGAATGAATGGGTGAGTGGAACTCCCATCCTGCCCATTAACCTTGGCAAGTGTTGGGGCTTCTTCCTTTAGGACAGGTGTGGGCAGAAACACATTGTGGCGTAATGGTATTTCTCTGGGTGATTTACAGTACATCAACAGGGGTTTCTGACTTTCAGATACAAATCAGACAGCTGAAATAATGAATGTGTACAGGGAAACTATATGGGGATTTTTGTGTGAAAGGAGCACAAGAAGTTCATTTCTTGACACTAAAAAAATAAAATCTTTGGGGTGAGTTGTGTGCTTAGAAGCAACCCCGTTCCTTAATGCAAGGGCAGCATCCCTACAAACATTCTATAGGGTCATGGAACTGTAGCATTGGAAGAGACCGTGAGGGTCACCTAGTCCAACTCCCTGCAATGCAGGGCTCTTTCACCCAAAGTGGGGCTCAAACCCACAACCCTGAATTTAACAGCCTCATACTCAACCAACTGAGCTATCCCAGGTCTTGAGTAAGTGTGTCACTGCATGTATATACCATAGGCTCCATTCTGCACTTGGTTGTGGTGGGGTAGACCTGGGGTTCTAAAAAATACACCCTGTAAGCCCACCCCTACTATGCATAATCAGCAGTGTGAGGGGATTCTCAAGCAAACTGACAATGGCTGCTATATCTGGCATGGGCAGGGGGAAGACGGTATCTGCACATAAGCCAGTCTCTCCTTTTCCTTCTGCTGCATGCTCTTTGGCCTCGATGAGCCCTATGGAACATATCAGCCCGGGGAAAGCTCTCTAAATCTGCACTTGCTTAATTGTCTACCTCTTTCTCATCTACTAAATAAGGAGCACTTTATCACACATTAGCTGCTGACATGTGTGGTATGGTGGGTGCCTGTTCCTAGGGCTGGATTAAGACCTTCAGAAGCCCTCAGCGCTGGAAAGATTATGGTGCCCCCCCCCTGCCCCATATGGAACTCAAAATCAAAACAATACTAAACTATTAAAAATGTATCTTTCAAAATGACACTAAACTTACACATATCCTGAAATAACTATCAAGCACAACATATGGCAGGATCCGATTTCCTGGCATTATTTTGATCTGTGGTAGGAGGACATATCTGCTCGTATAGGTGGGGATAAGTAATAAAAAGAGGACAGAAAAATGGAGAAAGAGTAGTAGTAGTAGGAGTAGTAGAAATAGCAGGAGTTGTAGTTGTTACTATTACAGTAGTAACTCGGGTTACATACGCTTCAGGTTACATACGCTTCAGGTTACATACGCTTCAGGTTACACACTCTGCTAACCCAGAAATAGTACCTAGGATTAAGAACTTTGCTTCAGGATGAGAACAGAAATCGTGCTCTGGCGGCGTGGCAGCAGCAGCAGGCCCCATTAGCTAAAGTGGTGCTTCAGGTTAAGAACAGTTTCAGGTTAAGAATGGACCTCTGGAACGAATTAAGTATGTAACCAGAGGTACCACTGTATTAAAATTTGTATACCGCCCTATACCTGCAGGTCTCAGGGTGGTTACAACATGAAATCACAATATAGACTTCTGGTGTGCTCATATCTCTCTGGATTGAAACCATCACTCCTAAGGCATAGCATATTAGCAGTATATTTGCTCAGAAGCAAAACAGACAGGATGTTTTTAAACGCATTCTATAAAGCTAATTGCCTTCTTTGCTTATGTATGGGTATTTCTGGCCTCGTGGCAGGAATTTTAATTGGAAAAGGAAATGCAAACTTTTTTATCCTTTCATTCTTTTTTATATATCCCCCAGAGGATATGCCCCTTTCTTCTTCCTTTAAATATACTTAAAAACCTGTATTTAACCCTGCTGCCATTTCAAATGCCTTGGGAGCACCATGTCCTCTCATACAGCGGTGGGCAACTTCAGACTTGGGGAGCAAATGCTGCTCTCCATCCCTCTCTGTTTGGCCCTGGGGACTCTCCCCAGGCCACACACTCCTCTCCAGCCACACTGACCCTGCTTTGCACCCTGCTTAATTGGCTAGAACATGTCCTTATCTCTAATGGTGCTCCTTCTTTTCTGGGATGGGGGATAGAAAGAGGTATGTGACTGTATCTAGAAACTAGCCTAGGTTACAAAGGCCAAATTCAGTTTTGCCTGTGGCCCTGCCACCTCTGGCCCATGGAAATATGCTCAGAAGAAAATGTGGCCCTCAGAATACCCACCTCTCTAATAGTTAAGGTCGGTGGGTAGTTCTGGGCTGCCCAGTAGGAGAGCAAAATAGAATTCCCCAAGAGAAAACTGATTCTGCATTCCTTTTCATCTGGGTCTTAATGGAGTGCATTCTCCACCGTCAACCCAAATCCTGTCCCTTTCTCAACTTAAATGGTTCTTTGGGGTGGGAGTGGATATTTGGTTTGCAGGAATAAGCACTTCTTCCAGTCTCAATTAACTCCCCACTCCAGAAGACTGTTCTAAGTGCTAATTAGGAAGTCCTCCTAACCAGAGAAGGGACACGGGTAGCTTGGGTTTGCCGATTGGAAGGTTGGCGGTTCAAACCCCACTACGGGGTGAGCTCCCGTTGTTCAGTCCCAGCTCCTGCCAACCTAGCAGTTCGAAAGCACATGAAAGTGCAAGTAGATAAATAGGTACCACTCCAGCGGGAAGGTAAATGGCATTTCCGTGTGCTGCTCTGGTTTCACCAGAAGCGGCTTAGTCATGCTGGCCACATGACCCAGAAGCTGTACGCCGGCTCCCTCGGCCAGTAAAGTGAGATGAGCACTGCAACCCCAGAGTAGTTCACAACTGGACTTAACCGTCAGGGGTCCTTTACCTTTACCTTTTACCTAACCAGAATCCTGAACTGTAAGTGAATTAGAGTTGGGCAAGATGTGTCTGATGGGAATTAATCAGAGGAAGAAGAAAAGCCCTTTCTCAGGTTCTAACGAATTGTTCTCTCGCTTGGTGAAAAGCGGAAGGAGCCCTAATTGCTTAGTATCTTGGAATGGCTGACAGGGATGTGAAATTATTATCCGGAGACTTTTGCCATCAGGAGGCTTCAGAACTTCATAGGAACATCTGGGACTGAGTGTTGGGCAGCCAACACAAAACCCAGGCAGGGTAGCCCAATAGCATAATTGGCATAATTCAGAATACCCCATAGCATCTTGTTATGGGTGTCCACTTATATAATTCCGTTTTCCATATTAGATGCTTTAGGGAGCCAGGTGCTAGTGTGGGAGATTTCAGCAATGAGAAACCTTTATACAGAATCTGTTTTCCCTTAAGATATATGCTAAGTAAGCATGTGTTACTCCCCCCCCCTCCATTTAATTGATTGAATTTAAGTACTTGGGTTTCTATTTTGGCAATCACACACAAAACTATAGCCCACAGACAACAACAAAAAATATTTTAAATGTGTGGTTCAAAAAAGTGTGACTGCCTGTCACAAAGTTTTGACAGAAATAAAGAAGTAAACTTTTTTTTGTCCCTTTTGTTCCCAGCTATTAGTTAAAAGCAAAAGAAATAGGTTAGCTCACTGGTTGTCATAGCTGAAAGAAAACATAGCTGAAAAAAGTGTTTGGAAAAATGTGAGATTTCAAAAATGGTTCCACTCCAGTTGTTGAGCTGAAAAGCACTAGAGTTCTGTTCAAATATTTCCTTGCTTTTCCTGCTGAGTCCTGCTGTTTTTCTGGGCAGTGTCAGTTTTCTATCTTGTCTATGAAGCAGTGAGAATTAGGAGGAGGAATGATTTTAACCCTGTGTTAGATAGTGTAAGTGGTAGACTGGTAGATAGTGTAACTGGTAGACATGTACACACTGGGAAAGGGGTGGTGATAACTGAGGGCTGTGCCTGTTATCCCCAACCTCTTTGGGTTGATTGTACAGTGGTACCTCGGGTTACATACGCTTCAGGTTACATACGCTTCAGGTTACACACTCCACTAAGCCAGAAATAGTGCTTCAGGTTAAGAACTTTGCTTCAGGATAAGAACAGAAATTGGGCTCCAGTGGTGCGGCGGCAGCAGGTGACCCCATTAGCTAAAGTGGTGCTTCAGGTTAAGAACAGTTTCAGGTTAAGAACGGACCTCCGGAACGAATTAAGTACTTAACCCGAGGTACCACTGTAATAAGTTAGGTAAAGGCTTGTGTATGCAAGTGCCAAATAAGAGACCCATGCTGTCCAGTTTTGCATAGTATGGGTTTTTATGTGCGGAGCTGCTGTGCCTTGGGATGTTTATGCATTGTCTCCTTCGCAGAAGTGATAATTTTAAGTCATCGTTTGTTTACCCAAAAGGTTATTTGTTTGAACATCCAACCCAGCCTAGGAGACTGTGGTTTATTTTTGGCCTACAACCCTTGGTTTGTTTTAACCATGGTTTCACATTCTCTCTGAACTCCAGCCTTGCTTACCATAGTTTGGCCACCTTACCCCATCAAGGCACAAGGAAGAGCAGCTGAAAAACAAACTCAGCTTTGGAGAAACAAGCCATGGCTTGTTTGTTCTTCTCCAAGACAACTCATGGATTGTTGAATAAACCATGGTTAAAATAAATGATGGCTTAGCATTATGCATGAACACAGACAATGTATGGAGTTCAGGAGGAAGCTAGGGACACTTACCTCTTGTCCACCTAGGTCAGTAGTTGACACAGTAATAAAACCAACTTGCCCTGAAACCTGCCCTTAATTTCTGTTGCTATTGGTTTAAAGTTGTTACCATTGGGGCGGGGACCTGTGCTGAGAAGTTGTTTATGGTATTGTTGGTTTAAGGTTATGAAAACCTTTAGCTGCATAAAAAGATCCTATTAAGATTTGCTGGAAGGAGAGACATACATGGTCCTTTAAGTCTGAATTGATTTTAAAATAGTTAGCTTGGTTTGCTCAGCTTGGAAATATTTCTGACTTCTCTAATGCACATAAGAATTTGGGAGGAAGTGTAGTGCAGTGGTTTAAGAGAAGGTCTTTTCAGGTGTTATGGTTAAAAATGGAACATGAACATATTAGTCTCAACTCCAATAACCCCACATGCACTGTCCCCTCCTCCCAATACCCTGCCCCTGACTCAATGCCAAGGTTGCAGGTTTGATCCCCGTACGGGACAATTGCATATTCCTGCATTGCCAGGATTGGACTATATGATCCTTAGGATCCCTTCCAACTATGATTCCATGATGCTCCATATTGAACAGGAAGATCTGAGGGAGCTTCTAAGCACATTGCGGTAGATGTAATTCAAAGCCTCAGCACAATTGGGCATGCTGATAAGGCAATATTCCCGAACATACAGAGGCGGCATTCAGTTGATTGAGCTTATAAACCCCTTTCAAACCTTCCAATGCTGTCAGATCAAGGGTGGAGCACACAGGACCAAGTGCATATGTGGATTCAGGGTTGGAGATGATACACACTTCCAACTCATGTTTACATTTCCTTTTCAGCAACAAATCTGATTAGTGATAGAATGAGGTGAGCATTGAAACATCTCCCATCACCCCAGTCATGGTCTCACTTGGTGGCCTTTG